ATGTGCGGCTAAACCCCCAATGCTAAGGGGGATGTCCCTGATTTGCGAATGTATTAACTATGAATTATTGATTTTTAATACAATAGTTTCCTTTCAATTTAACCATTCAAGGTTTCTAATGCTTTCCTGATCTGACCAATTAGGATTGAGTTACGGTTAACAACCAGTTGAACCGAGGTTGTTAAGGTTTTTGTATGATTAGGCTATAGTAGATATTACCTAGGACTAGGGATACCCTATAGTCACCGATTTAACCCTTGATAAGATAAAGGCTTGACTCCATCAAATATTTCTAAGGAATTAGGATTAATGATGGATGGTTAAAGGTTTTCTCACTAAGGACTTAGGGGAAAATAATCTAAAGGGCCGATAGTTAAAGGTAATGAACTTGTATAAGAGATTAATAGTGAAGGTCATTACAGGGAAAACCACACACTTACCCCTAGCATAGTATTCACACTAGTAAAAAAGTCATAATTTACTGTCGCATATTTTTAATTATTGTTAAGTACAATAACCAAACCAAACCCCAAATTGAGTTTTGTTTAATTGAACCTCGCATTAAACTCGATAATTTTGTGCAGTCCTTGAGATCAACATTCGGGGATTTTTCCTTGTTAATACAAGAGGCAAAATAGTACACTTGCTATTTTACTGATCAAGTTTTTGGAGTCGTTGTTGGGGACTGCCTAATCATTGAGTTTAAGTTGGGTTCACTTGAAATTTTGTTGTTCTGCAACTAAAATTTCTTTTATGTAATTTCCATATTTTTGTTTTACTGATTTTTTCTAACATGTGCATGCGAGGAAAGTCCTCAGCTGAATTTTCGTTTGATGCAGAAATAGAAAGAACTTTTCACACGAGGCGCAAATTAGCTCGGTTAGATAGACAGGAGTCAGCGGGTTCTTCAGATCCTTCAAATTCAGAGTCTGAAGAGGTAAAACCAATGGCTGAAAATCTGCCACCAGAGAGACTCCTTGGGGACTACGGAGGAGCAAATGCTCCAGCAGGTCAGTTGACTATTGTGAATCAACCGGTCAATATTGTAAATTTCCAACCGCATCCTTTAACCATCTTCCAGCTTGAGAACAGATCTTTCACCGAAAAGATCAATGAAGATGCCAATAAGCATTTGCAGAGATTTCTCACCATGAGCACTACTTTAAAGATTGAGGGGCACTATGAAGAAGCTAAGAAATTAAGGATGTTCCTGTTCACGTTGTCTGAAGATGCTGAAGAGTGATTCTACTCATTTCCTGCTGGAAGTATCACCACTTGGGAACATATGGAGCAGACATTTCTTTATGAATACTTTCCTACCTCAGTTTACATTCGTAATAGATATGAAATTGTGAAGTTTAAGCAGAAAGAAGGAGAATCACTAGGTGAAGCTTACAAGAGGTTCGAAAGGTTACTAGTAGCCTATCCCACGCGTAACACGAGTCAAACTGAGAAAATGCAGATGTTTGTAAATGGCCTATGAATGAAGACAAAATAGCTTATTGATACAACAGATGGGTGCTCAACAAAGAAGAAAAACAGTGCTGCAGTTGTGAATTAGGGTTTCCACCCTTGCTGACCTATGGTCAACAAAATCTCAAAAATATAAATTAATAATTACAAAATAAAATTGATTATAATATTAATAATTAACATTAATAGTAATGTTCTCAATATTGACAATAACACCATAATAATATAATATTAATAATAATATAATAATAATAACATCCATAATAATAATAATAATATAACAGAAGAATGGTAATTGAATGCTAAAAAGTAATTGAATAACAAAAAATAATTGAATAACCAAAAGTCAGGAGTTTGACTTCCTATCAACCCTACAAAGATAGTCTTTATCTATTCCACTGGATCTGATCATGGACTCTTCGACGAACCTAATGGGCCAAATAGTACAACCTAGTCATTTTTTTACAAAATTGAAATACACCCTTCCCCCAATATTATCTAAAACAAGAAATACAAAAAAAAACTATTTGTAATATAACCATCATTTAATTATAATTTTAAACTAAGAATATGATAACATAAAAATTAGTAAAAGATAGAATAACTTGATTAATAATGTCAGTAGGAAAATTTTAGGGTATGACACATTATCAGTGCACGCACCTCAACTTGTTTCCATGATTCATTCAACAGTGAGTGGGGATCTTGTAATGGAAAAATCAGAAACCAATGCTTATTGGGTACATGTTCTACTCCTTACTATCAAGTCAAGCATGTTATGTTATTCTGAGAGAATCGCTTGGTTATTTCTCAGAAGCCTGGATTGATAAAACTCATTCTCAATGAGTTTAATTCTTCAAATATGGAGGGGGGGGGGGGGGGGGGGGGTAATGACGGAGTTACACACACTAAAGCGCATACAATGACTCTATTTTTTTGGGCCACTATGACCAAGTATATCAAGAAGTTCGTGTCATAATGTTTAGGTTGTCAACAAGCAAAACACTCAACAACTTTACTAGATGGATTATCCAACCTCTACTTATTACACAATAAATTTGGGAAGATTTGTTGATGGATTTTATTACGGGACTACCACCATCTAATTATTATACTGTTATTCCCGTGATTGTAGATCATTTATTCAAATATAACCACTTCATTCCTCTAAAGGGTGACTAAAACAATTACAAAATAACATGTTTTCCCTTCATACACTGGTTAAAATTCATGAGTTTCATAAGACAATTTGTCTGGTCGTGATTGTGTGTTCACTAGCCAGTTTTGGTAACATTTGTTCAAACTCAGTGGCACAACATTAGCTATGAGCACGACATACCACCGTCAAATTGATGGTCAATATGAAGCTGTCCACAAATGTTTAGAGCTTTATCTCCACTGTTTCACTAGTCATGCTCCTCGTGCTTGGTCTACATTACTACTCTGGGCATATTTTTGGTACAATAATTCCTCCTACACAAGTATTGGCATAATACAATTCAAAGTGTTTTACGAACGAGATCCTCTGAGCCTTATTCGATATGAAGTTAACTATGAAGATCAACCATTGTTACAACAATTATTTACAAATAGAGATGATACCTTGGATGCTCTAAATGTTAACTTTATGAGAGCTCAATAAATTATGAAGAAATTTGCTGATAATCAATGACGATTTGTTAAATTTCATGTGTGTGACATGGTGTTAGTCAAGTTGCAACCTTACCGTCAACACTCGATAGCTCTTAGGCGCAATCAAAAAGTCAATATGTGTTATTTTGGCCCACTTCTTGTCTTGAAATGCATTGGTCAAGTTGCTTGCAGATTGATGCTTCTCACTACTGCGAAAATCCACTAGGTGTTCCATATTTCTACATTAAAATTATGCAAATGTGACTACTTTACACAATTGTTACACATTCCTCTAACTACTATTGAGAAATGACCATTGATTTTCCCTCAATCTATTATTAAATGTCTCACTATCATTAAAATGGCTAACCAATTCAACAGTTCAAGTCTAGTGGGAAGTTACTAGGCCAACTGAAGTCACATGGGAAAATTGGAATAACTTGAAGGTTCTGTATCCTAACCTTGAAGGCAAGGTCCTTGTTAATGAGGGGAGTAATGTTATAAGCTGGAAAAATAATAGTGTTGGAGGAAAAGGACAAATTAGAAGCAACCAAGGATATATGCAAATGATCATAACATCAAGGAACCAAGGAGAGGCAGGAGGGTGAAAATACATAACACGAAATATTCCTTTTGTCAGCATATATGCAAGAAGCGATGCAATGATCGACATGCAAAAGTGATACAATTCTCTTCTTCTCTAGTGGCATTGTGGATGAATTCTCTTTCTTCTTATTCAGTTGTAATAATCATAATACTTTACATTCCAATAAGAGATTAAATATGAAGTTCAATATATTCATCTCAAATATTTCATTTATACTTACTGTATTTAGTGAAACTATATTTGAGACCCTCACCATTTTCTCTTAATTGATTCACTATCACGAAATTTGAATTTGAATTATAGTAACATGTTGGGAGACTTGATTATAAGGGTCAAAATTACGTATTTTGGCTTGTTGGCAACCATTGATGGTTAGGGTTGGTTCCAACAATGGTTTTCTCATACTATACCCATGTTGATTTGGAGTTCCCATATACCTTGAAATTTCATATTAGTAAATTGCCTCAATATTTCGATAAGAACGATGGAGTTGTCCTGGCCATAATTCTTGGACATAGTTGGAATCCATTCCATCCTAATCCATTCTCTCCTAATCCACCAATCCTAATCCACATAGTTGGAACATGATGTAATCTATTCCATCCTAATCCACTCAATCTTTCAATTTTCATTCCCTTGATTTGGAATGTAAGCAATGAAATAAATTAATTTGTTCTATTCTGTTATATTAAATTAAAAAAAAAACACAACCAATATAGTAAAATTTGTGTTCCATTCTATTTCACTCTACTCCATCTCATCGTGTTCCATTCTACATTACTCCGTTTTAGTCCATAAATCCCAATATAACTTTAAACATTAAAAATTTTAAAATATAGAAATCAAAATTGCCTTCAAAATGTACTATGGATCCCAAGTAAATTGCTCAATAAAAGATAGAGAATTATTTTTAAGAAAATGCTAACATGTATCCCAAGAGCACAAATTAATAAGTTGTTTGTAAAAATATTTTCTTAAAACACTTACATTCAATATTTTAAAACTTTAAATATAACTTTATTATATTTAATTATATTTAATTACATTTAAATTTTTCTAATTATAATATCATTAACGTATGCCCTTAAGGCACATATTAGCATGACCCTTAGTTTTTAATATTTCTTTCCTCGCATTTTCTCTCCCTTTACTTTCTTTCCTTCCAATTTATTTCAAACCCAACATACACCGTCTCCACACTACAGTTACGAATATCCTTAAACCCTAAAATACTCCACTCTCTCTTCCCCGAATTCTAAAACCTTCAATTCTCTTTCAATCATCATCAATGGCGGAAACCGCTCAATTGACTCGTCACATTGAGTCCTACGTTGCCTCTTCTTCCACTCCATCTCACCAGGTTCACTCCCACTCCCAATTCTTCCATGAACACAACAATTTAACTTTTTCTCTGCTAATAATGCTTGTGCCCTGCAGGCTGCAAGCTTGGACGCAATTGGATTGTTGATAAAGACCAATGCTTTAACTCTAGAAGCACTTGTATGTGTTTCAAATTTCTGAGAAAAAAACAAAAATAGATTTTTCTCATTCATGCTTGCTTAATTTATGTTTTAATTTATTGACTTGATTTGTTTTTGCTGTTTGCAAATTTTAGGTTATAGGGTTGGATATGTATTTGACTTCAACAGATGCAGTTATTCGGTCAAGAGGTACCTTTTGTTTATTTTGCAAATTTTTATTGCACATAACAATTTTTGTTAGATCATGAATGAGGTGGCAAAACTAAAGTTGTTGTGGATGATCTACATGTATGTGGGGGCTTGTTTTATTCAAACTCATCACATGACCGAAGTAGCATTCGATTGAATTTACTTTATCTTGATTTGTATGCTAAAGTTTGTACAAGTTAACAATTTATATGTACTTGTGAAAATGTCTGTACTATCTATCAAAGTAGTCAATCCCGGATAGCGGTGCGGAGCGGCCAACCCCAAAAAATAGGATAGTGAAATAGTGTATAGTGGGATGGCCGCTATTTAATCACTGTTGGACAAGTTACATGAATAGTAATTATAAACATATGAAGTGCCGAGGGTAGAACGAAGTGCGTAGAAAGGTGAGGGAGGAACTTGTGATTTTCCTTTGGAATGAGTGAAGTGCACAGACGTCAGTGAAGGAAGGTTAGGGTTGAATCTCAATTTAAAATTGATTGAAAAACTCAAAATTACCCTTAAAATTTTTAAATTTAAGGGGTAATTTCGATTTATCAGAGGGGAAAAGGATAGCAGGACAGGAACCGCTCTGAGGCGGGAATCGTCCGACCTTGCTACCCGCTATTTATTCGCTATAGTGTTTTGCACCGTTAAGGCTCTTCCCATAGCGGGTGATGGCCTCCGCTCCGCTATAGCGGGATAGTGCCCCTATTGACTACTCGGCTATATGGGCATAGAGATAGCATACTAATACCATTCACATGTGTATTTGTGTATGCATGGATGTAAAATTGAATAGTATATATTTTGCTTTGGATTATGTTCTTATTAGTGAATGGCTACTTGAAAATGTTCTTCAGGAATTCTTCTTCTGGCAGAGGTGCTTACTCGTATTCACTCAAAATATCTTAACAGTGAAACCATACACAGCTTGGTTGTGTTCTTCAAGGAAAGAATGGTCAGTATAAACATTTATTTTGCTACATGGCTTAGTTTTCTAAGTTCTTGTTTGGAGAATTTTTTTATTCTAGTTGGTTTCTGTTGATGGTTTTCTTATTCCCTCAGTTTATTCTCGCAATTCCTTTTCAATCTATATTTCCAAAATCCATACCACAGATATTGGATTCATTTTCCAAAGTTTGACTGGATTGAAGTTGAGTTGAATGCATTCTGGATCGTTTTTCATGTTGTAATTACTACGACCCTTCCATACACATACCATACCGAGTCTGTGTATTGTGATACTCAATCCTCAATCTAGTCCACTTATTATTTATTATTATTTTGAAAAAATTACTGAATCTCTGCATCATTAGATTAAGTCTGGTAGCTTTCTTAATTGTCTGAAGTTTTAATATTTATGAAATTCTTATGCTTGAACCTTGAGCATTGCTGATTAAACTAGATTATGGATGGCTGTTCATTTTGAATTCATGAAGTGTTGTGATTGATGATCTATAACCTATTTAATGATGTTATAATTTTCCCATGATATTTTCTAAGATCAAACTATATAATATTATTTATATTCAGGCAGATTGGCAAGCAGTAAGAGGTGCACTTGTGGGTTGCTTGGCACTGATAAAGAGGAAAAGTGTTGTGGGTATGGTAACTGGTAGTGATGCCAAAGCTATTGCCCAATCTTTTTTACTGCACTTGCAAGTTCAATCTTTAGGACAGTATGACAGGAAGGTAAATTATTTAAGTTGCAAAAAGGCAAATAAATTTGATTCTGCTTCTGTAAAATTAGAAAATACATTGAGGAAAAGACCTCTCATTCAAATAACAATGAACTTTGAAGTTATTATTCATTGGCTTAATTAATCAGTCTCAAAGTTGATTGGTCCTTTTGGTAAACATTCGCACGCAGTTACTATACAATTATCCCCCCCCCCCCCCCCCCCCCCTTTTCTTTTTTTTGAACTTCATGTAAGCTATATTCACTAAACATCTGACCTTTAATTTCTCTGTTTTAATACTGCAGCTATGCTTTGAACTAATTGAATGCCTGCTACAACATCATGCTGATGCGGTTGCTTCATTGGTAGTCCTTGCTTCCCTAAACTTCTAATGAATAAAGCAAAAAAATGTATCTTCAGATCTGTATATAATCAATCAGTTTCTCACTATGGCTTTAACTGAAGAGAGCATAGTTATGGTTATGAAGCAAATATAAGTTGGACTGGTCGTAGTACAGCCTATTCATTAGTGCTGCTGCATCTCATGTTTTGTCACAATGAATACAATTATTTCATACCATGTATATTGTCCATGTTGAGGAGAATATCTTATCCTCTTCTTCAACTATAATTTCCTTTTCTTCTCATGATTGTTTAAATTGTTTAAAACAGACTATATTATTATCACAGTCCCATTTCATTATACAGTCACTACTTTTCAGGGAGAAAAAAAATCAATTGATATGTTTTAAACATGTGAATGCTAGAAATGCTAAACCATTTTCGGGAATGTTTGAATATAGAAGTGTAACTATTGGATTTACTCAATCTAATGTTTTTTTAATATACACACAAATATTGTTATGATAGTGAAGTATAAGAGCAGAGGGTAAGTTATCCAACTAACAAGAACTAAAATATAATGGTCAACGTACAACTTACACTCTATAATGGAGACTGTTTGTACTCATAATTATTTTTTATTTTAAGTTTTCTGCTTATGGTTCGCTTGTGACACTGGTGGGCTCATTTATTTTTCGGCAATCTTATAACACTTTTGTTCTTGACTGTCTTGTAGGAGGAGGACCTTGTTTTTGGAATTTGTGAAGCCATAGATGCAGAAAAGGATCCAGAATGTTTATTACTTGCCTTTCATATTGTCGAATCTTTGGCACACATATATCCCGATCCATCTGGTCTACTAGCAAGCTTTGCTAAAGATATTTTTGATATTTTAGAACCTTACTATCCCATTCACTTTACACATGTAAGCTTGACTTCACATATTATTCTATGCATTCTGATTGCTATACATCACTTGGTCAGTGACCATATAGGATCCACGCAATAGCAATTTGGTTTATATGAATGCATCTACATGTTTTTCACCTATGTGGCTATGTCATTATATATTGAGTACCAATGCTAGAAGACTCTGAAAGATGTGGAGCTGTTCCCAAAATATCTATTCTCACTCTGTTATTTATTTGCAATCTCTATTTCTTTACCAGCCAACCGGTGGGGAAACTCATGTGCAAAGAGATGACCTGTCAAGAACTCTGATGGTATGTGCAGCTTTTGTCCACACTTTGCGGTGTTTACAGTCATTGTACTTTCTTATAATTAGTCATTCAGTCATTAATGAGAACCTCTGAAATCTTAAACCATGTAATTCAGTTTTCATTTAGACAAATTTCTGGATATGAAATTGAAGGTTAGAGCAGAACAGTTTTATGGGTTTCTTTGCCCTTCCTTACTTTTTTTAACACAAACAGTTGTTGGCTGAAAATTGCTGGGATTCAAGTTGAATCCTTTTTTTTTTTGAAGAGATTGGCAACATTAGGCTTGCGGTCCTTTAATTTTAACCTTTTTTTTCTTCCAGATTGGTATTTGTAGAAATACTCTAATTTCAGAGCATGTTTATTCCAAAGAAAAAGTGCTCTGTTATAGCAGAGAGTACATGAAGACACTCCACAAATTAAGGAGTAACTTAGGGGATTAAAATAAAATGCAAATAAATATAAAATCAAATAGCATTGAAGCTAATAATGATTAATAATTCATCATCCTTTATTTTTTATTTTCCCGAGTTGGTCCTTTATGTTACATGTTGTTTGCACCATCAACCTTGAAGTTATGCTCCTATTACATTGTTGACCTTTATGTTACATTTTGTGACCGTGCGAAGCACAACATGTGTTCCACAACTAGAGATGAACTATGTTCAGGTGTCCATTCATCACGGCTCACACTGGAGTTAAATGACTCACTGCTTTGGGTTCGAATCTTTGATTTGCTGCAAACAAATTAGTTACTTTGGTTCTAAGGTTTTCATATTTGGGAATTTAGATTTAACAATGAAGAAGTGAAGGGATAAAGGAAATTGACAAACATGATATGTCTATGTGAATATTAAAATGTCACTCGTGCTTATTGTTAACGAAACTTGTTAAAAAGACCGGTAATGCCGACATAATGTAACATTAAAGACCAATTTGAGAAAATAAAAAATTAAAGGACCAGTCCGGGAAAAGGATCACACTTTAGGAGTGACATACATATATATTAGATCGATGTGGTTGTCTTGAGGAAATTTGTTGCTTATTGTTGTCCTTTTTAGGCTGATTTTTTGTCCTCCTACCCTATTTCCTTTACCTAATAAAGGAAGCAAAGTGCAAATATACATACATGTGTGTGTTGTATGTACTTGTGTGCATGGGATTCACGTCATGCAACAGAGACTTACTATCATCCGTAAATGGAAGAGCATATTCGATATATCTCAAATGCAATTGAAATCTGATACATTATTATATATTTTACATATAAAAGATTGAGTATACGTTTTTCCAGTTGTGTTTTATTTCATAATGAGCAAATTGTTTTGATTTTCTGCAGCATGCATTCTCTTCTACTCCAGTTTTTGAACCATTTGTTATTCCTCTGCTTCTTGAGAAACTTTCTTCTTCACTACTTTCAGCAAAGGTTAGTGTTTCTATACTACAATTATACATTTCATTCTAAATATTTGCATAATTACCATCATACTTTTTTTTTTTAATAAAAAAAACTTAACCATTTTATAGTTTCTCATGTGTTGATTTTCTATACATTCAGATTGATTCCTTACAATATCTTAGAGTTTGCTCCGTCAAGTATGGATCTGAGAGAATTGCAAAATATGCTAAGACTATTTGGTCTTCATTAAAAGACACCGTAAATACTTACCTGGGTGAGCCAGATTTGTCTTTTACTCTAGCACCCATAGATGGTATTGACTTTCCAAAGAATGGAGTTGTAATTGAAGCTCTGTCCCTCCTTCAAGAGCTTATTGTGCAAAATAGCAGTCAGTTAATTAGCTTGATAATTGATGATGAGGATGTCAACTTTATTATCAATAACATTTCCTCTTATGAAATCTACGACACTATTTCTGCACAAGAAAAGAAGAAACTACATGCTATTGGTCGCATTCTCTATATTACTGCCAAGACTTCCATTCCTTCCTGCAATGCCGTGTTTCAAAGTCTTCTCTCAAGAATGATGGATAATTTGGGATATTCTGCTATTAACGCCGATGGCTTGCAAAATGGTGGTATTTTTACCTCACAAACGGTTAACTTCGGATTCCTCTATCTTTGTATAGAACTACTTGGAGGATGCAGGGAATTAGTTACTTTGTCTGAGGAAAAACATGGGACATATTGCACCATACTTCATAGTTTCTCAGCTGTGCTATTTAATGCCTTTGGTTCAGTCTTAGCTGTAAGTGCTGGCAGATGTCCCCGTGATCTTGATATATACATTGGAGGTGATTGCTCTTTTATTTATTTAGTTTAACATTTTCATCTACACATACTGTCTTTGTTTCTTTTTGAGAATTTTAATTGTATTTTGTTAAGTGGCACTCCTCTTAAATAACGGTATCAGGAACTCGTGATGTGAACATTTATTTTGATAAAAAGATGATTTTTTTTAGTAAGAATGGGAGGAAAGCACTTTTAAGGAAAGTCCGTCTGATAGAGTAATGAGAAAAAGGAAACAGCCAGGCAAAGTGGCTAAAAAATGCAACAAAGGTTTCCAATCCACTTATCATTAATAGAAATATCCTTGAATCTACTTTGAGATGAGGACCAAAGAGAAACCTAATAACATTCTTTTACCATGGCAAATCTAAGGACAATGAGAATGATTGAAACCAGTACCAAAATACAGATTTATAGTAATAACTGACTTTTGTTTATGGCTGAATATGTTTATAACAGACATGTAATTAGAAGAAAAAAAACACTAGAGAATACATAATACACATAAACAAATCCAAGACATACGAGAGTCTTGGTCTCTCCCTCCGAGAATTAGAGAGCTTGATCTCTTCCACCCAAAACCATTCAATAACTATACCATAATCTGTTTCTCCTATAATATAACTACCATGATAACTTCTCATAACTGCCCATAACTGCAAGTCTAACAGAGAACGCTGGCGAAATGGTCTTTCCTCTTCTATACGATAAAACTAAACAGTTTTAAAAGTTGCAGAGTTAAGACCTTATTACTGCCAGTTTAAAATATGTCAATCATAAGAAAATACTCCCAGGTGAAAACTCTATGCCAGTGTTCCCAAAGATCTGCTAACTGGCTATTCCAACAAAAACTTGCTACACCTTACATTGCAAATATAAGTGGGCTTCTGTTTGTCTTTCTGAGTTAGAACACAGCACAGAGCAAAAATGGCAATCTTGAATTGGATCTGCATTGTTTTTTGGATTTTCAAGTTTCTACAAAAGAGTTGATCTTAGGCGGATTTTTGGATTTTCCCGAGTTTGTCAAGGAGAAGACTCTGATATAATGAGTCATGTATTGGAAAAGGGAGACAACACAAAAATACCGAAAGAATCCTTGGGTCTATTTGGTTTGATCAAACATTTTCTATTTTCCTTTGTTGTTTCACTTTTCATTACTAAACTGCCATTTTTTTCCACTCTATTTCTTGTTTTAAAATGATTTGTGCATGAAATGGCGAATACAAGGTGGCAATTTTGCAACTAAAAACGAAAGCATGAAATGCTAAAGGAAATTGTTTTTTCAAATCAATCAGACCCCCAGGCTTCTTTCGGTTTGTTTTCGTATAATTCATTTTTCTCAAATCAATCTGTCAAATACTTGTGGCGTGTGCACAGATTTCTTGTCTCTAAACACAGTTTCTTTTCTTTCTATATTTTATTATAGATTCCAGATCTGTCACACATATAGTTGTGCCATTCTTCCTTTGGCTTAAGAGAACAGCATGTAGCATTTTAGTTACATGTCAGGTGCAGATTTCACTTGTTTCCATCCAATGCAGCCCCATCTGCTGAAGTGCCCTGCTCTTTTATAATTTATCACGCCCTTGCCATATTAATTATTACCTGTTTTCTGTTTGACGTAATTCTGAATTGCTGTATGCTTTTGACATACTGCAGTCAGAATGAATATGTCGTCTCAAGCCTAACTCATCCCTACAAAACCGGCTTGTAAGGTGAGGATTGCGTCCACTTATAAACACAACACAAGCCATATCTCTAAGCAATGTGGGACTAAATCCACCCCTTCAAAGCCAACACAATGAAGGTGTTGGGGGCTGCCATGAGGCAAGCCAAAGTGCCGCAATTAAGGCGACTTGGGGCGGACCGCAATTAAGGCGGAAAGTCCAACACACTCCCTCACGCTTAGGCCTGAATGAGTCCAAAGCGTGGATGATGCAGGAAGCCCAACAATGGATCTAGGATAGGTTCTGATATCATCTCAAGAAATGGGGTTAGGCATAACTCATCCCTACAAATCCGGCTTGTAAGGTGAGGATTGCCCCCACTTATAAACACAACACATGCCATATCTAAGCAATGTAGGACTAAATTCACCCTTTCAAAGCCAACACAATGAAGGTGTTGGGGGCTGCAATGAGGCAAGCCAAAGTGCCACAATTAAGGCGGAAAGTCCAACATGTTGCAATTAGGTCGTATATATAATACTTCAGAAAATCTGATTAATTTTTATTCCAATTTCTCACTGTTTGGTTAAGGGGTATCTAGTCATTGCTGGTTCCAGAGGAACTTCCAAATTAGAAGTATCTTGTTACATTTATGTAGTCGCTATTTTTTTAAGGATACTACCGTATGTTTGATGCACACTGAGACACATATTATGAATCACGACACACATTTTTGCTATGTATATCGCTTGGTGGTCAATACACAATACACAAACAAAATAATATGAAAGTTTTTGCAAGAACCTTTGGAGGGTGGGAGGAGAGAGAAACAAAAGTCTCTTTAGTTTGTTGATAAAATTTAGAGTTTGTCCTGTACCTCATTTATAGGATTGTTTTGTCTTTTGTTTTTTAACATCAAACATGGAACAATTTTTTTATCCTGTCCAGTCTCTGATTTGTAAATAAATAATCAAATGTGTTTGATTCACTGCATTGTGACTTCATTATATCTTCACATTGCTGATTTCTTTTTTGCTTTTGATGCTGATATACAGTGAAGGGTTTGCTGATTCTGGCAATGTTTCATTTAGATGTTTTCCCAATACCAAAATCAACATTTGAGAATATTTTGAAGAAATTCATGTCAATTATCATAGAGGATTTTGACAAAACAGTACTATGGAATTCCACATTGAAAGCATTATTTCATATTGGCTCATTTGTTCAAAACTTCAGTGATTCTGAAAAAGCTATGAGCTACAGGAGATTTGTTGTAGACAAAATTATGGAACTGCTATTGCGTGATGATATTGCTCTACCTTTTTCACTCAAAGTAGAAGCATTGTCTGATATAGGCATGACTGGCATGAAAAATATGCTTACAATTCTTCAGGGGCTGGAAGGCGCTATAATTGCCAATCTATCTGAGGTCTATGTATGTCTATATATAATTTTTTCATTATCCTATTTGCCGTGTTCAAGGCTTCATGTAACATGTCATCTCACTTTTAGAAAATTGTTGGGCTTATTTTGTCACTGCCTGCTTTTTTTCTTTATTACTATAATGTTGCGTCTCTACTTTTTTGGATATTATTGAAACTTTCTGGTATTTGTTCATCTAGGTCCATAAAAGTTTAAAGTCTTTTGAAACTGCTGTTCAGCTTTTGGAGTGCTATTCTTGCAAGCTACTTCCATGGTATTCAGCTCTTCAGGGCATACATATTATTTTCACTTTGTTGTAACTATATGAGTTTCCTTTACCATGATATAATAATAGATGATATTCTGTATTCAAAATAATCGATTGACTAATAGTGCTCTCAGTTTATCAACTGTTCACAATATAATGCTATCCGCAACAAAATTTCCGATGTATCTGATATTTTGAATTGAATCTGGGCAGGATCCATGAAAATGGGGGTGCAGAAAATTTTGTAGTGCAATTTGCTGTGGAGATTTGGAGCCAAGCCGGAAATTGCATGGATTTTAATTCTCCATTTGAGGAAAAAGTAAATCTAACTGTGTCATTTGTGTAATTAGTGTTCCCTAATTATTTTATGAATATAGTGAAAATCCAGTACCAATAATTAATTAACCGCAACTAAATAAACAATTAAGTAGTCATATTGATTTTTCCTGCTTGTACTGCAGGGTCTTCTTGATGCAATGATGACAGCGATGAAAGTTTCTGTTGGGTGTTGCTCAGTAGAGAGTCAAAATGTTATAATTCAAAAAGCTTACAGTATACTATTGTCACATACCAACTTTCAGCTTAATGAAGTAGAAAGATTGCCATTAACTCTTGGAAAATATGACATTTCCCTTAGGGATGAAGGGATACTTTTATTATTTACATCAGTAACTATCGCACTTCGCCCTAAAACACACATTCCAAATATTAGAGGGCTTCTGCATCTTTTTATAATAACCCTCCCCCGGGGTTTCGTTCCAGTTGCACAGGCTTTGGGTTCTATGGTCAACAAACTCATTTCAAAATCCAATGATACAGAGAACTCTGGTGAATTTACCTTGGAAGAAGCACTTGATATTATATTCAACACAAAAATACAGTTTTCTAGTACTAATATGTTGCAGAGATGTAATGGATCAAGTAATGGGAGCGAAATGGTTCTTACTGATTTTTGCCTGGGCATGACAAATGATAGATTGCTTCAAACCAATGCCATTTGTGGGCTCTCATGGATTGGGAAAGGTTTGCTACTGCGCGGTCACGAAAAGATCAAAGACATCACTATGATATTCACAGAGTGCTTAATATCAGACAGAAAGAGTTCTTTGCCTTTAATTGAAGGTTCACATGAAAATACTGAAGAGCAGAAATGGGATCCTTTGGCAAGGAAATGTGCTGCGGATGCTTTTCATGTTCTTATGAGTGATGCTGAAGTTTGTTTGAACAGAAAATTTCATGCCTCAATACGGCCCCTGTATAAGCAAAGGTTTTTCTCTTCCATGATGCCAATCTTTCTGCACTTGATCTCAAGATCTGATTCTTCATTGTCCAGGTAGATGTACTGCACACTCTAAAACTCAAACTATTTTCCTTCCCAATGGCATTTGATACCTTTTTAACTGTAATAGCCAGTCTGTGTCCATTGTCTTAAGTCGCTGTATACACAAACAATGCAGTAGTACTAAGTTGCCAATGAGCTGTAACATCTATTTTAACTTGGAGTTGTGCTATATAGTCTCTACCTTCGCCCTCACAATTATCTAAACTGCTATTTCTACAATTTCAGATCTTTACTGTTACGAGCCTTTGCACATGTCATATCTGACACTCCACTGATTGTTATACTGAGTGAAGCTAAAAAGGTTAATTTAAGAGATTATATCTATCTGTAATTATTTATCTTACGTTTATGTTTCATCTAATGGAATTTATTCTTCCCTTATAAATTTTGCAGCTCATACCAGTTCTTCTTGATTGCTTGTCTATATTGACAGAAGATATCCAAGATAAAGATATATTGTATGGTCTGTTGCTAGTTTTATCTGGGATGTTGACAGAGAAAAATGGTAATTACAATGGCGGTAGTATTTAACTTATCTTATTTTCAAGGCCGTGGTTTATTAGGTTCTCATACTGTGATTCAATTTATTTTACTTTTCATTTTCTTTTTATGGTTTCCTTGTGGGAAAGAAACTGAGTCATAAGGATCAGTTTCTATGTAAGTATGGATTTTCAGAATTATTTGCCATTGCACCTGTTGCTAGATTTTGGTGCAATATTGTTATTTGCAAATACTAGTGTGTTCCTTGCCGGTACACTTGATACATTATGTAGCTTCGACTCATGTTTCCACAAAGTATTAACATGCTAGTCATAATTGTGTTGGGATGAAGATGATGACAATCATGTAATCTTTGGCATCTATAGAAAGAATGGCCTTCAAATGCTGTCTTTATATAAAACTATGTTCAATGCTTGCAGGACAAGAAGCTGTTATTGAGAATGCACACATTATCATCAATGGTCTAATTAAGCTTGTGGACTATCCTCATAAGACGGTATCAGAATTTCCTTGTATAATTTATTTACTGCTAAAAAATGCTGACTTTAGTTGTGTTATAAAGCCGTGTCTCTGTTAAAAGACAAGCTGCTTCTTCAATATTTAACTACAAAAAGTCGTGTCTCTGTTAAAAGACAAGCTACTTCAAAAGAGCTTGTGTTTCTTAAATTAATTCAATACTTGATGGTTCTAAAGCGATCAAAATTAATAATGATGTTAGTGATTGATTTCTTCTTTTCCCCTTGTGCAGCTTGTTCGGGAGACAGCTATTCAATGTCTTGTTGCATTATCTGAGCTTCCCCATGTGCGTATATATCCGTTGAGAACACAGGTTTGTCAAGCCTTTAGTTGCATTCGATCTGTTACTTGATTTACTTTCTAATAAGAGATCTAAACTTCATATACTTTAAATACACTCTTTTATATATAAATTTCTTATCATTAACCTCTTCTTATTTTCATATTTTGGAAACATTTGACTTGATACTATTCATGTTGAATATCAGGTTCTACGAGTAATACCAAAGTGTCTTGATGATACAAAGAGATCTGTTCGCAATGAAGCTGTCAAATGTCGGCAAGCATGGTTAGTACTTCATATTTTTTAGGAATCCTGACAATTCTATCTGTTGCAGTTACTGTTATGTTTCCTTCTACTCATATTTGCACGACCATTTGACAGGGCATCTATCGCATCATCCCGGAGTCTTCAGTTATGAAGTTTTAAACCAGCTACCAGAAATGCTTTTGAGCATTGTTTATTAGAGATTCTTTCACCCAAAGTTTTTATCATTTAAATTTTACACTTGTAACTTATTGATAGTATTTCTTGTAAATATCGAAGGTTGTAAGTTTTATTGGTCTGTAATTTTTGGCAATTAGTTGTAGTCGATTTTTACCTGATTCATAACTACGAACTCCAGTGCTTGAGATTAATGTAACTCTGTTGAAACATTTTGTATGACTCGAGGTGAATCAGGGGAAAATGAGTGAAATATAGAAATATGGTCTGCTTTACATACATGCCTTATTCGTGACAAAATTGTGTTAAATTAAAAATAGGGTCATTAAAATTTTGCTAAAAAATGTGTAGCTGAGTTGGATAACAATGTTACAAGTGATATTGATTTGATACTCATCATGCATTTATTGACAATAATAACAAGGTTAATAACAATGTTAATGAATAAAACTTAGTTACATCATACATAAATTTATAATAAAATGATTATGTGACTAATTAACATTTACAAATGAAACAGTTAACCATGGAATAAGTTGCAAATATTTCTTTCATATTTGAAATATCAATTACTCCCGGTGATCATAAACATGTATGCTAAAAAATTCAACGTCATGGTGTAAATCATAACGAAACCTGTGATTTAATGGATATTTTAAGATGATATTTTAGAAATGATTTTTAGGATAAATAATAGTAAATGATATAATAATTGGTGCATTTTTTTAATAAAAAAATTCAGACCCCAAATAGCACATGTCTGCGCTCACATGACAGTGGCAGAAACAGCTACCGAATCATAATTTTGTACAAAAAACAAAAAGCTAAGAAAAGTGTTTTGATGAGTGATAGAATAACATGATGGTACTCCTTGTAACATTATGTAACATAATTTCCTCTGTATCAATCTATAAAGCTCCATAGCAGGATTCCTCCAATAACACTTATTGATTAAAACAAAAACGTAAGATATAGACCTCATATATTATTGGTGAATCTTAACATGTTTTCTTTTTCAGATTTACTACAAAGTTCACCAGTCACACTTCCAAATATCTATATTCTATAAGGTGTTGTTTACTTTGGGCGGCATGCTCTTTCAAGAGGCCCAGCTTGCCTAGCTAGTTGAAAATAATTTTCAAGTTTCTTTCTCAAAGCTACATATTCTTTCTTCATTTGTTGATAGCTCTTCCTACACCTGAGTATGTTACAACAACAACCATTGTTAGGAATCATATTCCATAAATAAATGACTTTGATTTAATGCAACTTTCATTACCCTTCTGCATTTCCTGTCCTGCAATATTCTCTAATTAGACTCGATTCTGCTTTCACCTTTTTCGCCCCAATGCTGCACAAATCACTATTTTATTCAAATCATTGTTCAACTAACATACTTTACACCTGAGGTGATGTAACTAACTATATACCTTGAGCTGCTTCCTTTAAACTGGTGCATGATTGTGTCCAGTTTGTTGAAATCCAATGGATTCCTCTCCCTTCCACATGCACAAAAATGACACCAATTTAGTTTAAAATTATGATGGAATTAACACACTATAATAAACTTACAGTGTCTGCTCCAAGTTAGAGATAAGCCTAGATGAATCGCGGTAGTAGAGAGTGACAATTTCCTCAACAAAATTAGGATTAGCATCATCTTGCAATTCTTCAAGTTGGATAAATTGTTCATCAAGAAGCCCCTGCATATTTCATTATTACTTAGGTAACTAACTAGCTAGCCATCAATATTAATCAATACTAGAACAGTCTAACAACATTCTATATATGGACCTGATCAAACAGTGACTGTTTCATTGCAGCAACTTGTCTGCGACAATTGTTTCTGTCCATGATGATATAATTAGAAGAAGAAGATGAAGGGACACACAAGGAAAGAATAATAAAGGAAGAGGTTGGAATTGAAATATAACATGATTTTGAAATGAAAGTGTGGCATGGTTTTTATAGCACCCAAAAAATATGTCATGTCTTATCTTAACCTATGCTTATAATTATGCTACGCTATAGTGTGCGTGTGAGTGTGTATGAGAATCAAGTGATTGTGATTCAATCATGTAAAATTTGTCACTTTTTATGAAACTATACTTGAGAGAATGAAACCATCATTTTTAAATTTCAATCCATGTAACTTAGAAAGGAATAACCAACTATTCCCTTTAGGTATTGCACAATTGAATTTTTTTTTATAACTCACAATTGGATTTTTATTATAAGAAAAATTTGTGTTTTAGTGTATATGATCTTAGGATGGTAAACGGATATCATCTGTTATACAAAAACCTGTAAAAAAAAAGAGGTGAAATAGAAGGGACATAGTTGAGTGTGTAAATTTAAAATTTTGACCTATACTGAAAAGAAAAAAAAGTAAATGTAAGGTAATACGGATACGTAGATATTGCACTTTTAAAATTTAAAACAAGAGTTTATATTAATGTTTGCGTCCGCAAAAAGTATGACGAGACAGAGAATTGACACATACGCGGTTTTGAAATCTTGGTCGACTATAAAAAAAAATGATGACAAAATATCGGATTTATCACACCTATCTCGTCTATATAAAGTTCTAATAAATAATTTTTTTTAATAATAAAAATTGAGAGAATACTCTATCATTTGTATCTATCATCGTTCTTGATTAAATAATTAAAAAATTTAAGGATTAAATATATTTTTAGTTTCTATAAATTATTAAATTTTATTTTTCGTTAAATATGACATATTTTAGTCTCTACAAAATTATTATACACGTAATTTTAGTCCATGTTGTTAAACTGATGTGTATTTTTAAATGATTATTTTACAGATATGTTTAGAATATTATAAAAAAATTCTAAAAAAAAAAACTTCAAATTTAATTTCTAATTCGAGATTTTCATTACTTTCATCGATATCTTTTAAAATTAAAAAAATTTATAATTAATTAATCTCATTTTAAAAAATTCTAAAATTTAGTAAAAAAATGTTTTATAATATTCTAAACACTTATATAAAAAATTATTTAAAAATTTAAAAATTTAAAAATAATTTTTAAAATTCTATAAAATAACATAAACTAAAACTGTATGAATAAATTTTTTATGAAAATCAAAATATATTATTTTTTAATAAAAACAATAAAATCTGAAATATTTATAAAAATAAAAATATATTTAATTCGAAATTTAAATATCTATCACTATATTGATGCAAATGTATATTTTGTTATTGAAAGGAATTTAGTGTCACATTCAAACAAAACATAACATCCCATTCCACCAAATCGTGCAATCAATTAAAGAGGGGAAAGGTTTAATACTTTAATTAACAGCATTAGCTATGAACAAAGTACTTGTACGGAACGTGGGGCCATTATAATATTTAGAAGAACATATATATAAAGAAAATGATTTGACATGTTAAATCGACTAACTTATGATTTCTTTTCAATACAATTTCCTTTGGCATCTTTTCGCATCTAAGATTAAATAATTGCATCAATATTTTAAAAATATTTGTTGAAAATATAATTTCAATTTGGTTTTATATAAGATAATAACAAACCTTCGTTTAAAATTTTATTTTACTATACTTGGTAAAAAGTGTCTAAATATTAAAATACAAGAAAAATCATAATTTAAAATTAACTCTTAGGTTTATTTTGATGCACTAAATATGTAATGTTTTTAATATATATATATATATATATATTTTTGTATTAAATTCGAGATTCATTTTGATTTATTAACTTAAAATTTTTTTATAATAATTTTATAATTTTTTAAAATATATTATATTAATTATTTTTATCTAATTATTAACATTTTAAAAAAATTAAGAAATCACTCATAAAAAAAGAAATAAATTTTTTTTTTTTTAATTTAAAAGACTAAAATGAATCGAAAAAAAGAAAATAGTCTTAAATTTTTCTATTAACACTTTGAATATATCATGAATCTTAAGAATCACGCATATAATTAAACTTTTTCTTTTTCTTAATTCCTCTAAAATTATTATTTTTATGCATAAATAAATTATTGCATTTTTTTATTTTTAATTCTTTAGATATTTTAAAGTGGGAATCAATTTTATAATTTTTTATAAGGTGAGAGAGTCTATAAATTATTTTTTAGTGAAATTCTTGATTAAAAGATATTTTCTATTTTCATCATTCCTTTTAATATTTACTATTTTATTTAATGAAATACAAATGAGTCACTCACTTTAAAATAGCATTTCATATTTCATAAAATAAAGAGCAAGTATTAAAGAGTTTTTTTCAAAAAGAGTTGTTGAGTTCTCTCAAGTAAATTAAGAAAATAGACATGATATTTCACAAAACACTGTAACATCGTCAATATGTCACACCACTCACTCAAATGCAAACAATTATATTCAAAAATAAGATAAAGAAAGGAGAATTTCTACTCCACTTTATATGAAAAAGGAATACTTTATACAATTTCGAAATTATTTTTCGGAAAATCAGAAATATACTTTCAATTCACGTCATATTTTTCATAAAATAGGTTAAATATGGTTTTATCTTTCAAAATACAAAAAACGGTATCGGAGGTATATTTCATATTCTAAATTAGAATTCTGTTTCAGTTCTATTAGCGGAAAGATTGAATTTTGTTTCTACCTTGACATTTTATATATAATTGGAAGTATAATTATGGTTTTATGGACGATGCAGGTTACTTAAAACAGTAACCAGTATGGTCATGTTTGATCACCACCATTTCTTCTTTCTTTCTTTAAAACCTCTCAAAAACCCTCATCATTCTCAATCCATTTTCCACTCCAAATCAGCATTGTTGTGGTTCATCATATCAGAAAGAGCTCAAGAAAGTAGAATTTCAGGTAAAGTTTATTCATTTCAATCCTCATTCCCTACATTAATCTGTTGTTTTTTGTAGAAAAAGGTTACGTACAAACCAGATGTATACTTCCGGTAGTTAGTTGAACAGAGCC